CCCAGCTTTTCCTGTTCGCTGAGGGTTACAAATATTCTTGCCTGCTGCATGCCAGCCCTGTATTTATCCATTAACAGTCCCTTTGCAAGCGGCAACTCAGCGCCCAGGTAACTGGTTTTTCCCCTGGAGGCTTCAGGGCTGATATTGTTTCCGCCATTGTTTTCAATACCTGTTTTAAGGACTATTCCGGCAACAGTCTGTATCTTAAGCTCCGGGTTATTGTAGAAATAATAATTTTTGCCATCAAAGGTCTTGCGGCTGTTTTCGATTTGCAATACTGGATCAAATGCGCCACCGGCAGAAAGCAGGGCGGCATTGGCTATATCAACTTTCAGTGCAGCCTGCCGCGCAACAGGATGGTATAATTTTACCAGCTCAAAAAATGCTTCTGGCGTCAGCACATCGGGTCTATTGGGCTGCGCCATCAGTGGCATATGATAGAGCAGCAATAAAAATATTTTAATAATGCATTTCATCATTCCGTTTTTCTGCGGTTTTATGGCTGTTTCTTTATATTATCATTGTTTGATACGTAATATTCAGGCGGAAAGCCGTTGATATGGCGCCACAGTTCGTAATAGACCCGCACATCTTTTAACAGCGAAATGCCGTTGGCCCCGCCACCAACTCTTAGTCTTTTTGGCCAGGGTCTGTCTTCCGGATCTTCCGTTACCAGTACGCGGAACTTTCCATCCTGGCCTGCTGCATTTTCAATGGCACTTACTTTTCCACCAAAAGTGCCAAAGCTGCCGGCTGGCCAACCGCTGAATACAATGGCCGGAAAACCATCGAAAATAAACCTCACTTTTTGGCCCGGTGAAATAAGGGGTAAGTCCATAGGGTTTATAAACATTTCCACGGCAAACTGTATTTTGTCGGGTACCATTTCTATCAGCATTTCTCCTTCTTTCAGTAATTCACCAATACCTGCTTTTTTTGCTTTGGTTACCTGCCCGTTTTGTGGTGCAGTTATAAAATAAAGTTTATTCCGTGCTTCGTAGCTGGCGTATTGGTTTTGCAGTTTAGCCACTTCTGCAGCAGTACTTGCGGCACTGGAGATGGAACCAAATTGCTCGCCGGTGGTTTTTGCTATTTTATCAGCGTAGTCCTGCTGGGCTGCATTCCGTTCAATCTGCAGGTTCAGTAATTCCTGTTTATCCTGCAACAGCTTGTTATTGGCACTGGTCATCTTTGCCAGTCCATTCTGATAATTAACTTTCCGTTTTTCAAAATCAGTCAATGACAGCACTCCGCTGTCGAGCATTATTTTTGCGCCTTCAATTTGCCTTTTATACACATCTAATTCATTGTTTAGCGCCTGTATATCGGCTTCATCTGTTCTGATTTTCAATTCCTGCTGCTGCATTTTATTTTGAAGTGACTGTATTTTTAGCTGCCTTGCCTGCTCCAGGGCCTGCAGTTGTGTAACGGTAGTGCCGGCCTTGTTTTTGTAGCCCTCTGCGCTCTGTTGTTTGGCCGTAATCTGTTCCTGCGTACGCTGTAATAAAAGGCTGTCAAGGTATTCGGTTTTAACTTCCTCCAGTTGCAGCAGCGTATCACCTTTTTTTACAGTATCACCTTCTTTGACATACCATTTTACTACCCGGCCTGCCAAAACACTGTTTATTTCCTGCGGCCTCTGCTCCTGCCGCAGGCCGGTGATATTTCCTTTTGCACGTATGTTCTGGGTCCATGGTAAAAACATGATCAGCGTAACCAGCAAAAGGGTGCCCAGCAACCATTGTTTCGCACTGCTGCTGCGTTGTATGTGATAAATATTGCGGAAAGACTGATGGTGGCTGGTGGATGCCAGCGATTCTATATTTCCATGTATGAAGTCGTTCATAAAAATATCAATAGGTGTTAGCAGGTTCAATTGTTTTTATTCAGCGTTATTACTTTATCACAATATTTTTCCAATGTTTTATCCTGGGACACAATCAGCACCGTAGCGGCTTTTACTTCTTTAATAAATTGGATGACATTGTATTTATAGGGTGCTTCCAGGTGTTCAAACGGTTCTTCCAGCAGCAGCAGGCGGTGATGACCCAGCAATGCACGCAGCAGCAATATGTTTTTCCTCACAGTATTGGGAAGTTTGGTGCCCAGGGGCTGCAAAAATGTATCATAGCCCTGGGGGCCGTTTTGTACAAAAATGTGCAGTCCGGTTTTTTCTGCCAGCTCCTGCACCTGTCCGATAGTGACCGACTCATCGCCCATGGTAATATTCTGCCACAGCGTTCCGGGAAAAATATCCTGGCTTCCCAGTATGATGCCGGTCAGTTGCCTCAGGCGCGGAATAGAATAATTGTGAAGAGGAATTCCTTCTATCAATATGTTACCGCTGTAATTTTTAAATGCGCCGGTCAGTAAACGCAGTACGGTGGATTTGCCGGCGCCGGAAACACCCTGCAGCTGCACCATGGCACCCTTTGCTGCTGTAAAACTGAGCGCCTCAAGCACCCTGGGTTGATCCGCATAGGCGAAACTGACATTTTCAAAGCGTATTGAAACGCCTTCCTGGCTACCCGCCAGTAAGAAACTGCCGCTTTTTTCTTTGGCTGCTTCTGTTACAGTGCTTAATTTCTCCAGCGATACCAACGCATCATACACTGTATCCAGATTGGTAATAATTTTTTCAATTGACCCAATGATGGCAATTATTACAATATCGGCTGCAATAAACTGGCCTACATTGATTTGCTGATCTACCAGCAGGTAAGTACCCAGGATAAGCATTGCCCCGGTAATAATTATCTTGAATGAAACAAGGCTCCAGAACTGGCCCAGTAATACTTTAAAATAGGTGGTGCGCGACCGCAGGTAATTGTTTAGCAATTCATCCGTTTTACGGATATGTAAAGAGGTGGCTTTGGCATATTTGAACGACTTAATAATTCTGGCAATTTCCTGCAACCAGGCTACCAGTTCATATTTGAAACCACTGGCGGCCAGTGCACTTGAAAGTCCCCGGGGAGAGGTAAAATAAAGTAACGCTGCAATGATCAGCAACAACAGCAACCCAAATGCAATAAAGAAGGGGTGGTAAAATGCCAGCAAAATAATCCCCAGCAGCACCTGCACCACCGCGGCCGGCAAATCTGTTACCAGCTTGTCTATGCCTTTTTGAAGCGAGATAGTATCAAAAAAACGGTTCACCATTTCAGGCAGGTATACCCTGTCCAGCTTTTCAATATCCAGCTGCGGTAACCTGTCGGCATACTCCATTGAATAACGGGCAAAAAGCTTTTGTTTCACTTTTTCAAGAATCTGCAACTGCCTTATCTGTAACAGTCCATTAATAAAAACACCTGCTACTACCAGGCAAATCAATACTGTGATAGAGGTAGAAATGCTGCCCGCAAGTACAAAGCTCACTATAGACTGAATGCCCAGCGGCAAAGACAATTGCACCAGTCCGGCAAAGATGGCCAGGAAGTAAATCATGCCAATGTCTTTTCCGTCAAGCAGCAGCAGCCGGTGCAGCCTGCCAATAGCATTTTGTAAAGAGAAATTATCAGCCGGCATAGTTTGTAGTTTACTTTAATGGGCGGCCACTGCCTGCCCGGTAAGCCACAAAATTATAATATTACTTGTATATTAGATAGTAATACTATTAATAAAAGTTGTATAGCTTTGTTAAATGACAGCTTTGCAACAGCATGCTGCCATAAATCCCCTTGCTGCAACTGGACTTGAAAATAATAATGAATGCAAACCTGTACCTGCGCGACCCGGTCGGTACAGGGATTGGGAGGGAAATTCTCCGGCATACCATAAAAATGATGGTGGGGATGGGGTACTGTCAGTTCAATTTTAAGAAACTGGCGGTAGCCATTAAGAGCACAGGGGCCACTTTGTACCGCTATTTTGAAAATAAGCACAAATCATTGATTTACCTGGCGAACAGGTACTGGTGGTTACTGAATTTCAATGGCTGTTTAAGACCAATCATTTTGTCAGTCATCATGAAAAGATTAATATGGCCATTGACATGCTGGTGCTTCAGAAAGACACCAACTCGAAATTCTCCGCCTATGACCAGCATGCGCTTTGCGAAATAGCCATAGCAGAAGGCAGTAAAAGCCTTTCTGTCAAGAGAAGTGGATACGCTTAATAAGGAAATGCTCTATAAGCCATATAAAAGATTACGGATAGCTCATTCGCAGCATTATTTCATGCACACCTGCAGCGCCTCAGCGGTTTTTCCTGGGAGAAAAATACCAAAGACCTCAAAGCTTTCTTAACAGGATTGGTTTTTGGTGCGCTGGACGAAAAAGTGTAGCAGCGACGACTGGTTTTATCGCGGTGGTACGTTCAAATGGTTGTTGTCAACCGGGTTGGCCGCGCCAATTGTTTCATTGCGGTATATTCAAGAATAAATTTGCCGGGAAGTTTTTTAAGGCAGGCCAGCAGCATGGCGGAGGCCACATCAGCCGCGTGGATGGCTTTGTATTTTTTTGTGCTGCCCAACAGCAACAGCGAGAAGAAACGCATGACTATTTTCCCGATGATTTCACCCGGCCTCGCTTCTCTGCGGCTGCCCAGTAAAATGGAGGGGCGCATAATGTACACCGTTGGTATGGATTGCCTTAATACGGCTGTCTCTGTTTCGCCCTTTAAAGCCAGGTAAAAATTGCCGCTGCCTGCACTGGCGCCCACAGAAGAAACCAGCAGGAACTGTGGAATGGCCTGCTCTGCACAAAATTTTGCTGCCCTGGCGGGAATATCAAAATCAACTTTGCGGTAGGCGGCTTTATTGCTGTTTACTTTTTTCTGGGTGGTGCCTACACAACAAAAGAGAACGTCGGCCGGTGTCACCGCTTGTCTGAAAGCGGCCTCGTCTTCAAAATCGATAAGGCAGTTGTCCAGTTTTGGATCCTGTATGGTCAGCGGGTGGCGGGCAATTACTTTTACTGCAGAAAATGCAGCATCGCGCAGCAATTTTTCAAGCAGTAAGCCACCCACCAGGCCCGAGGCGCCAATAAGGATTGCTCTCATATTTTTGTGTATTTTGCCTGTTGAAGACAGACCCATGCAAATTCAGGAAAATATACCACTAAAAGCATTTAATACTTTTGGAATAGCGGCCAATGCGGCTTATTTCGCGGCATTTTCAAGCGTCGCCGGGCTGGAGGAAGTGCTAAAGACTTCCAGCTCCCCACTCCCGGCTATTATTCTCGGTGGTGGCAGTAATATCCTGTTCACCGGTAACGTCAATGGGTACGTGCTGAAAAATGAAATAAAGGGCATTCAGGTAACCGCAGAAGACAAAGACTTTGTATATGTAAAGGCAGGGGCGGGCGAACCCTGGCACCCCTTTGTATTGTATTGTATTGATCACAATTGGGGGGGCGTAGAAAACCTGGCATTGATACCGGGCAATATTGGCGCCAGTCCCATGCAGAATATAGGCGCCTACGGGGTTGAGCTGAAAGATGTATTCCATGAGCTGGAAGCTTATCATCTCCAGGACAGGCAACTGGTAAAATTTGGATTATCCGATTGTGCTTTTGGTTACCGCGAAAGTGTGTTTAAGCGGAAGCTGCGCAACCAGTTTGCCATTGTAACGGTTACCTATAAACTGCGGAAGCAGCCGGTTTTTAATACCAGTTATGGGGCCATTGCACAGGAGCTGGAGGCAGCAGGTGTGCAGCAGCTGTCGTTGAAGGCCGTTGCTGACGCGGTTATCCGTATCCGTTCTTCC